ATGTTGGGACTGTTTGGTGGCCATGGAAGGAGATCTATGTTGTTTTTTTGAAACCAAGCCTGTACGATCTTCGCTGTATGCTTTGGATCGTTGTCTTGCTGGAAGTAGAATTGACGTGGCTCCATAGAAAGCTCACGGTAGGTACCTAGGACATCGTCCTCAAGGATTTCACGATATAACTCTTTGTTGAGGTTCCCTTCAATCCGTACGATCTGCCCAACACCTTGTGCCGTGATCATTCCCCACACCGTAACCTTCCCACCACCGTGCTTGACCTTCTTCTTCGTGAACCGTGGATCCAAGCGCTCTCCTGGTCTCCTCCAGCACCACTCTATACCATCTGACCCAAACAAGTGGAATATGGACTCGTCTGAGAAGTTTACAGTCATCCAATTAGCCATGGTCCATTCCAGTCGTTCCTCGGCCCAGTTCTTTCGGACGTGTAGGTTCTTGTGAGAGATGAATGGAACTGTGCGTCGAATATGAGGTTCAAGACCTTCTCCTCTAAGTGCATGCTTCATTGTATCCACACAAACATCCGGGAAGTACTCGCGCTGCAGCTCGGAAGCATCGTGGGCAGTCTGATTTGACAGGTGTCGGCAGGCTACACGTAAATCACAGGGCGTGAGCTTCCGAGGACGACCAGTTGAGTGTCCAACATCGTAGTAATTCTCCTTTTCTGCGTATCTCTTGACGATCCAGAGGATTTGGCGGTCAGAAAGATCGTGGCGACCAGTCAAAGCGTCGCGAATTTCGTTGTGGGTGTATCCCGCCGCCCACATTGTACAAATCTTTGCACGTTTGGTGGGGGTTGTAATTGGAGCCATAGGAGGTATATGACCATACACAATGTGGTTTGGGAGTGCGGTTTTTGGTTGAAGTCAAGATCGACAGCAAGTTGCTTGATGCGACGCGTTTATATCCCACGGTCACGGCATCGACTGGCCTACACCCACCATGTGTGTCACAACGACAGCTGCTTAGTTCAATCTTTTTTGCAGGATGTGCAGAGTAAACATAAAAGTCCACTCTGCCTATGAAATATTGTTCAAAGGATTAAAGAGTTTGAAGATAAAACCCATTTCTCATTTAAAAAGTGATCGGACATTCTTTTCTCAGGGTTAGTGTATGTATATATAGGTCATTGGGGATATGATTGGAGGATTGGGATGAGTTGACATTCTGCCACTTATGAATAGTTGCTTTTGATGTCAAATCCATGGCTGTTTTCCATACTTGCAATCTGTCTTGACTTTTCACATGGGAAGCCCCTATCCTATCTTTGATGTTGGTCAACCTTCCACTCAGATCAGTATCTGCTGTCCTATGTCTGACCACAGTCAATCTTCACATGATTTTTTTGGAGGGATAAATTCTCTGTCCTACCAATGCAACTTGTCATGTCTTTCAATACCAAGACCAGTTGTCATTGTCCAAGCCTTCACCACTGGGGTCAGCCTTGAGTAGATTGATTTAAAGGTACCAAAAGTGAATTAAATAGGTGGTTGGTCCTGTCTGATTTTCAATGTCTATCCAGGATTCATATGAAGCACACCCTTTGATTAGATAGGATAGTGACTTCTCATGTGAAAAGACATGACAGATTGCAAGTATGAAAAACAGCCATGGACCTGACATCAAAAGCAACTATTCATAAGTGGCAGAATGTCAACTCATCCCAATCCTTCAATCATATCCCCAATGACCTATATATACATAGTTAACCACACTACATACTATATGTCAGAAAAGTGGACACTATTAACTTTTGAAATGAAAAAAGCGGACACTACAAACCATTGTAGTCTGAAAAAGCAGACACTACTAACTTTTGTAGTCTCAAAAAGCGAACATTATTAACTTTTGTAATGAAAAAAGCGGACACTACAAACCATTGTAGTCTGAAAAAGCAGACACTACTAACTTTTGTAGTCTGAAAAAGCGGACACTATTAACTTTTGTAATGAAAAAAGCGGACACTACAAACCATTGTAGTCTGAAAAAGCAGACACTACTAACTTTTGTAGTCTCAAAAAGCAGACACTATTAACTTTTGTAATGAAAAAGTGGACACTACAAACCATTGTAGTCCGAAAATGCAGACACTACTAACTTTTGTAAAAAGTGGACACTATTAACTTTTGTAATGAAAAAGCGGACACTACAAACCATTGTAGTCTGAAAAAGCAGACACTACTAACTTTTGTAGTCTCAAAAAGCAGACACTATTAACTTTTGTAATGAAAAAGCGGACACTACAAACCATTGTAGTCCGAAAATGCAGACACTACTAACTTTTGTAAAAAGCGGACACTATTAACTTTTGTAATGAAAAAAGCGGACACTACAAACCATTGTAGTCTGAAAAAGCAGACACTACTAACTTTTGTAGTCTCAAAAAGCAGACACTATTAACTTTTGTAATGAAAAAGCGGACACTACAAACCATTGTAGTCTGAAAATGCAGACACTACTAACTTTTAGCTCAAAAAGCAGACACTATTAACTTTTGTAATGAAAAAGNCGGACACTACAAACCATTGTAGTCCGAAAATGCAGACACTACTAACTTTTTAAAAAGCGGACACTATAACTTTGG